TTGTAAATGGGATACGAATACTTGGCAATGAATAAGAAATACAGCGCAGATGAGGATGAACTCAAGCAACTCTGCAGAATGCCGGTTCTTGTGGTAGACCCGCGGGAGCGTTGGACTGTGGCGCATACGTGGCTGCTGTACCATACCGAAGCGCATAATTGAGTTCCGATTGGACTTGCTGAAAGGTAATTGGATAATCAAACATTTCGAAGAATATCTTCGTTGAAGGGAGCATCCATATAAAAAGTTTCTTATGAATGATCAAGTTCGCATTCGAAAACGTCTCACAAAATTCACAAGTTATGTGGTATTCAGAATGCAAATTCACATCTCAATTAACTGACTGCTGTATTTTCAAATTACATAAAATTGAGCAAGAATTCTATTTTGGTTGAAATATCATATTTACGATAAAGTGATTATGTTTCGGAAATCCGGTTTTCAAGTAGTCGGTCACGGTGATCTCTCACTGAGAGGTGCTCTTATAGGCAAGTACCACCACATTGCTAACAATAAGTGAATTCATGTTTGTGGTCATTGCGAGTGACTCTTACACATTCAAACATCTTTTCAATAAATAGCTGAATATGGCAGACGGATGGACGTAAAATAATAACACCTTAGCAATAATCATAATAATATAATTAAAAAATAATAATATGAATAACAACTGTGATTATAATAACAATAGAAGTAATAGTAAATGAATATCTTGTTTGGTTTGCATAAATGGTAAATAAGTAATTTTTTTCTGTCTGAACATAATCAGATCAAATATCAATGCTCGTTTATCACAATAAAAAAGATCAGTGTTTTTTGTCCGTGAATCAATTTTTTTCCATGCTGTAACCTCAACTGCTTTTTACTTGAGTGAGTATATATAATCATGAGTAATTCTCATAAATGCACTTCACATCCGCTGCATATTTACAGCTAGAAGGAACCGAAAATCTGTACAATGGCTTAGCAGTCACTTTGAAAACGATGCTAGGAAGGAAATTATTTTGGGTCTTTCATGAGAATTTGTTTACAATTAGCGTCAACAATACGAAAGTATCTTCCTCATGAGCATGATTTTGCTGAGTTAAATTTATGCGAGTATTTTTCAGTGGTAATAGCATTTGCAAGTATTTATTCGAACCTGTTGGATTGTTCGCCCGAAATTTTCTGACCACCTGGCAAGTTCAGTCCTATACTGATTCATCTGAGCTTGTTGTTCAGGTGTGACCTGTCCACGATAAACACCATTCACAAACAGCTGTCCATTCTGAATACTGATAATAACAATCATGGTAATATCGACAACACTAACAAAAAATAATAATAATTTTGAGAGGATATTCGTATCCGTAATTTGTTGCGACCTCAAAACGTCTTCAACACATCAGACATTTTAAATGTCAAATAAGTATTGTCTGAAATATTGCCTGCTTACAACTGCATCTAGATAATCGAAAGTATTATAAAGTTGAATGTTAAACTTCACATAACTCTCAGTTTAGGAAAATATATCAGCAATAACCCGAAAATGAATTGTTTTTAACGACTTAGGCAGTAAGAATCATTATTCCTCGTAATGAACTCTTCTGATTACACTTGCTAACGCCACGTACTCCATT